AAACCATGTAGTTTCGTTTGTCCACAGTGTAACTTAGTTTTCAAACCATGTAGTTTCGTTTGTCCACAGTGTAACTTAGTTTTCAAACCATGTAGTTTCGTTTGTCCACAGTGTAACTTAGTTTTCAAACCATGTAGTTTTGTTTGTCCACAGTGTAAGTTAGTTTTCAAACCATGTAGTTTTGTTTGTCCACAGTGTAAGTTAGTTTTCAAACCATGTAGTTTTGTTTGTCCACAGTGTAACTTAGTTTTCAAACCATGTAGTTTTGTTTGTCCACAGTGTAAGTTAGTTTTCAAACCATGTAGTTTCATTTGTCCACAGTGTAAGTTAGTTTTCAAACCATGTAGTTTCATTTGTCCACAGTGTAACTTAGTTTTCAAACCATGTAGTTTCATTTATCCACACTGCCTTATTTTATGAAGTTCTGTTTATCTGTTATTTTTGCAGTGTATTAAGCTAAACTGTAATTTCATGCTTACAGTTAATTCATTAATTGCTATTGCTGCAACTGGGCCTGGATGACCTCGCAACTGCCTGACAAATACTAGTTGACTCAAGTCCCAAACAATGCACGTTTTGTCCCTGGATCCACTGGCAATTAGATTGTATGCTGCTGATGAAACCAAACATGTGATAGGTTCCGTGTGACCATACAGATTCTCCTTTAGTACCAGTTTCTTCTTCTCTGTTCGCCACACGTTGATCACCTATAAAAAATACACAAAAAAACTAATTTTAGGTCGTGGCTGACAGAAACTGATCATGAGAGTCGCACTGAGAACTCTGTACAGTCCAAGAAAGGAAATACCATAAAAAAAATAACTTGAAAACTGAAACTAAACCATTACTTTTTTGTATATCACTCTTGTTCAGGGACAAATCAGAAAAAGAAACAAACAATTACATTTTTTTAAAGTAATTAAACAAAACAAATCACAGATGGGGTTTCTTAAAGAAAAGATAACAAAAACAAGAACAAATTTTCGATTTACTGGAACATACTAAGTTAACAATCAACCAACTTTGAAAGCTTCAGACAGTTCAGTAATGATAAAGGCACAGTAAACACTCAACAAGCAAAGACAACAATATGCTAATTATGGAAAAGGTACATTTTTTTTTAAGAGATATTACCATCAAACAAAGAAATAATTGTAGCACTAATCTTATATTTCCTTTTTTGTTTTTACAGCATCAAAGGTAAATATAAAGTTCTACCTTAAAATAATAAATATTAAACAATGTTAAAATGGATACATAATTAGAAATATTTTTAATTAAGACCAGTTCATGGGCTCAAAAAAAAAAGCTGATTCTACATGTTTCGACATTACAATGTCATCATCATCGAAACTTGTAGAGTCAACTTTTTTGGAACCCATAGACCAGCTTTAGTTAAAAATGTCTTTAGTTGTGTATCCATTTTAATGGTGTGTGTTATTTATTATTTTAACAATAAACAAAAAAAAATAATAATTATGAACTTCAATCTTTGTAGAAACACGAGAATACTTATGCCTCAGTCAAGTAAGAGACAAAATAAATGTTTTATTTAAAACAAATGACAGATAAGCCAAAAAAGTAACCTCTTGGAAACAGTTGACATAAATTGCATCTTGGTCACAATATTTGTACTGTAAGTATTACCTAATACTAGGTTATATTATTACATAAGTGATTTTTCTATTACAAAAACAAAAATATATCAAATTTACTATCTCATGTAAACCGAAAATAATGCTGTTTGTTACGGAACAATCTACTTACAGTATTTGTACCAGCTGTTAGGAGAACCTTGCTATTTGGTACACTACAACAAAGGATCTCTCCAAATGGAGTATCTTCCCAGACCAAGGTAGCCCGATCCGTTTCATAAGTTCCTAGCCTCAAGCTATGATCAGCAAATCCCCAAGCTACATAATGGATGTAGTTAGGGGGCAGTATCAGTTTGTTCTGTTCTACGGCTTGTAGTGTTTTGTCATGCTGAACAATCTGTCCTACCGGTCCTCTAAGCTCTGAAATGATTGGTAAAGAATACAAATTGATACTGGAATTCAAAATATCTTAAGTAAAAAAAAAATAACTTAAAATATGTGTTTTAACAATGTTGATACTGGATGCAGACTTATGAAAGAAAACTACAAACTACACAAAGCTGGTTTCTTTTAACTCTTTAGGTGCATACGTTTTTTCAGCCATATCATGCTCAAAATCATTTTCGGACAATTCAGGTTCAGAACCAGAATCATCGTCAGCTTGTGTGAAAACACTGGAGTGATTGGATGCCATTTTGAGTCCATTTTCTCATAAAAGTTAAACAATTTTCAACTGCAAATATTACCGACATTTTGAATAGTAACATACACCACGATGGATACAAGTCAGCGAATGAGATCGTAATCTGTGTAGGTTAGGCTTTATCTGTTGATTTTGTGCACTCAATTTTCATTTGTAGCAGGAAGTTAAAACTCCATTATGGCACTCATAAAAATATATTTATGATAGCAAATTATTATTTTTATATGTCTACTCTTGTATAACAGTATTCTTCTCTAAGGCCATTAATATATAATTCTCTAGAGCTTAATTCTTCTCTTGAAATTTCCCAACAGTTAAAAGATTTTCGTGTTTTTAACTGTTACTGTAACCCTAAATATGCCACCATTTTCATTAATTTACTTCTTTGTATGGGGGTGGGCGGGAGGGGGTTATTGGATTCTATATACTGGAAATGAGAAGAAGTTGGGAAGTAAGCAGAAGGTAACATTAGTTTTCAGTACGATGGAGAAGTATAAAATACTCAAGTTCAAGAGATGTATATACAAGTTGGGGTGCAGGGAACATATTTTGATAGCATTAAACACCTCAGACTACCTCATAAACATGAGCATACACATGATCAGCCAAACCATTTCTCAAAACTGCTCCACAACAAAAATGTTTCAGCGAGCTGAAAACAAAAAAGAAAAAAAAAAAACTAGCCATAACAGTTAAGAACTAAAGTCAAAAATATGAATCCCTATAACCCAAGAGCTTTCAAAAGGTGAAACTTTCTTCATGAGGGGCAAACACTTTGCCCATAATGAAGAAAGGTCCACCTTATGAAAACACTCAGATTATATGTTCCATATTTTTTGTCTTTAATGGAGTTTCTGAACCTACATGTTTTCCTGACATCATGAGACAAGCAAGTAATACAGACTTGTATATATGAAAGAAACCACAGATATTACTACAGAAGCTACTCAATAAAGATGTACTGTCAAAGTAAGATATTCCAAGCAGTATACGAGTAGGACAGATTTCCTACTAAACAGTATACACAGGTGGAAAGTTTTTATATCACGAAGAAAACCTCATAACATTCAGTAAGACTCGTGACACAAAATGGTGTAATGGATATGAAAAAAGAAAGAGTTAGAGGGAATAAGATAAGCACTATTATTTACTCACATACCTTACGTACCTTAGTAACCCTACTCACACACCAGAATGTTCAATAGTGTAAAATACTGTAATGAGCTATCTCACACAGTAGTTACTTTATTTTATTGAGAAAACAAATATTATTATTAAAGACCTATAACATCATATACTTGTGTTTCATCAGAACAAAAACAGAAAGTTGAATCTAGTTAATACTGCCCATGAAAAAAAGATTTTTAAGACAAATAAAATTTAAATAAGTGTAGTGAAACTATTAGCATATTTACACAAAAAAACTACCTTTTACAGGATGAAGAGATGGCCTCAGGTTATCCAAGTTATGGAAGAACAACTTATCTTGTCCAGTACTCAAACCAGGCACAATGGGGCCAGGATCTATGATACTTGTTCGGTTGTTAAGCCTTTTTGCTGGGTGAGGTTTCTTAAAGAGCTACAATACAACAATTTATTTGTTGAGCTTTTAATAGCCACATAAAAAAAAAACTATTCTTAGACTTGTTTAAAAAACAACAACCTGAAATTAATATTACTATTTTCTTGTTGAATAAGACTCATTTTAAAAACAACAACCTGAAATTAATATTACTCTTTTTCTTGTTGAATAAGACTCATTTTAAAATCTATAAAACAAATCATGCATCATTGTTAATTCACAACTAAAATGAAAATTGAAAAGCAAGCTTTTCATTCAGTTTATCTGTTAGTCATACAATTAAACACTTTTTTCACACAAACTGTTTACTAGCTAATAGGATTACACTACTCAATTATTTGAATTAATATAAACCCAATAAAATTATATCAGTGATGCTTCCAAGAGGTAAAAAAAAAGTAGTGAAGAGACATGTAATTTTGTAACGTATTTAAAAGATTCAAAAGAGAAGCCTAATTGTTGGAACCATTGATAAGTGATACACTGTAAGTGTATTTTGAACTCTAGATATGATGTCTTAGAACAGAAGCAGTCTGCTTACACTATGTGTTCTTGTTTTTCTAATTCAAGCTTTTTTTATTGACGATAGGGTGCATCATGTTATAGTTGTTAGATTTTTTTTATTTCTTTGATAATATTTTCTATGTAGTTTTTCAAGACAACATATATATCTTACTTCCTTGACACTGAATCAACATGGTTTTCAAATGAGACCCAAACCTTGAGCGCTTTCGAATAGTTCACTATTCTTCTTCAGGAGAATAAAAAATTAGGTTTAATGAATGTAGTGAAATATATAGGCACAGATGTCAACATCACGTAAACCAGATATTCATTATGAGTTAGCCTTGAGAACCAGCAAGTTCTAATGAGTTTATTCATAGTTCTGAATGATATTAAAAAATATTAAAAAAATTTAATCCCGAACAATATCACTTTTCATCATTAAAACAGAGACAGATTTTATAATGACTAAAAAAAAAAA